CAGACAGAGACAGACAGAGACAGACAGAGACAGACAGAGACAGACAGAGACAGACAGAGACAGACAGAGACAGACAGAGACAGACAGAGACAGACAGAGACAGACAGAGACAGACAGAGACAGACAGAGACAGACAGAGACAGACAGAGACAGACAGAGACAGACAGAGACAGACAGAGACAGACAGAGACAGACAGAGACAGACAGAGACAGACAGAGACAGACAGAGACAGACAGAGACAGACAGAGACAGACAGAGACAGACAGAGACAGACAGAGACAGACAGAGAGAGACAGAGAGAGACAGAGAGAGACAGAGAGAGACAGACAGAGACAGACAGAGACAGACAGAGACAGACAGAGACAGACAGAGACAGACAGAGACAGACAGAGACAGACAGAGACAGACAGAGACAGACAGAGACAGACAGAGACAGACAGAGACAGACAGAGACAGACAGAGACAGACAGAGACAGACAGAGACAGACAGAGACAGACAGAGACAGACAGAGACAGACAGAGACAGACAGAGACAGACAGAGACAGACAGAGACAGACAGAGACAGACAGAGACAGACAGAGACAGACAGAGACAGACAGAGACAGACAGAGACAGACAGAGACAGACAGAGACAGACAGAGACAGACAGAGACAGACAGAGACAGACAGAGACAGACAGAGACAGACAGAGACAGACAGAGACAGACAGAGACAGACAGAGACAGACAGAGACAGACAGAGACAGACAGAGACAGACAGAGACAGACAGAGACAGACAGAGACAGACAGAGACAGACAGAGACAGACAGAGACAGACAGAGACAGACAGAGACAGACAGAGACAGACAGAGACAGACAGAGACAGACAGAGACAGACAGAGACAGACAGAGACAGACAGAGACAGACAGAGACAGACAGAAACATCTATGGGCTACTAAGAGAAGAGCATGGTCTACGGCTGATGGTCGAAGGCTTTTGCCAATTTTAAAAATACTGCGATTATCTTTAACTTCTCATCTATAATTTTGTACTAGTAATTTAATCAAATGGCTATTCGTTTTTTGATTGAGTGATATTGAGCGACAGAGTGAGACTAAAACGTATGTGTTGTTTTATCCATTTTAAGTAGCTAAACAAATAACAGCCAGAAATTAATCCGAACTTGTAAACCAAGAATCAGGAATCTAATTCGATTTGATATGGCGATGGTAACGAGAGAAAGAGAGACGGCGATACGGCGGCGCCAACGGTCGGGAATAAAGATAGAAAAAGTGTGGAGAACGGTGAGACTCTTGCATGTTGCCTAGCGACAAGGCAGACGCCGTCTGATCAATAGCGCGAGCCAGAAAATGGTAAATGTATCCAGATAGATGCGGTCCGCAGCTAAAATCAGCAGGATTAGGTATAAATTTGAACAAAATAGTCACGAGGGATATTAATCAAATGTTTCGATGGGCAAAATTCCTTTAAAAAATACTAATACCTCAAATATAAAAGAAAAAGTTAAATAATAATAATAATATACTATCTATTGAATAATTCATTTATGGTTAAAAATAAGAGCCAAATCACTAGTTTTGCAAACAATACAGTTTTAATACACAATGATAAAAACTGGTACGATTTGAACATACAAACTTTTAATAATCCACCACAAAAAAAAATGTTTGTTTACCTTTTACATCTCTAAATTTATATTTTCCAAACTTCATAATAAATGTACAAAAAAATACTAAGATACCACCTGCTAAAAATATAAAATATTTAGGTGTTATGATAGACTCACATTTTAGGTGGGACAGTCATATAAATTATTTGACTCAAAAACTAAGGAGAATATTGTATAAATTTAAAGAAATCTTATACCATCTACAATACAGGCAAAAACATGGTTTATGGAAGTTTAGAAGAATTTCCTAATGGACGTGATAGTCAGCTGGGGAAGAGTTGCTCGCACCTACTACAACATTCGCAGCATTTAGGAGTCAACATGTTGCGCTACGATGGAAAACTGCTGAGATAATAATGGTACCCAAACAAGGAAAACCCAATAATGAAATAACATCGTATACCTAAACCAATCTCGATTCTACCAGTGATTTTAAAAATTGCTCTCAAGAAGACAAAAACAACTTGTCTCATCCTATCGATTCGGATTTCGAGATAAACATTTTACGATTGATCAGATCCATTGCGTAATAAATTAAATAAAGAAATCTCTAGAAAAAATAATTTGCTCCGCAGTAAAAGTTTTTTCCCGTTACAATATGTCCAACTATCAGAATCATATTCCTTACACCCAACGTTCAAAGTTAAAATAGAAAAAAAAAATACTATGAACTCAAGTCAATATACATGAGTTGAACATTTTATCTTTATCTTTTATGGATCATTTTAATATTTTCCTTTATTCTTTATTTTGCTTTGTCTGAAAGTTTGACCCACATAAACCTTTTTTGTTAGCATAGTAATTTTAGTTGTCCTTGTTTTGTTTCAGATTTTAAAAGAAGAAACTAACCAATGTAAGTATAATATATGTTAATTATTTTTATTAGATAAAAAGTTGTAAATATTGTTCAAATTGTTTTTCTAAGTTCGGACGATGGTATTTGTATTTGTACAGGCTCTAGATTGATTGGGGCGATATCGAATGAAATGCACGACGTACTCCTTCTTGGCAATCTCCTTTGGAGGTTGAAGAAGTTTGACAAACCTGTCCTTTTATATAAGTGGATATAATTAAATCGGGAGAGGAGGTTTATTTTTTTTTCTCTTCCCTACTTATTGCTAAACCAATAAATTATCCAAACCGACATCCCAAGAAGCGCGTTGTACAATACATGTCTAATTACATTTATCTAGTCAAAATTCCACAACAAGATGCAATTTTCCAGGTCCGTTCCGCCTATAACCCGGCATTGACTCATCATTACTGCAAACCGGATTGACTGTGTGCAGTACGATTGACCTATTTCAGCGTTATATAATCGTACGTAATACGGGAAGGGAGGAAAAGGCTCCCGCCCGTTTAAAATCCCGTCGTCGGTCGCCGATTCTCTAAAAAGTTCGTTGAACTCGCACCGCACCAGAGAGACCAGGAAAGAGAGAGAGAGAGCAGTCACTTTTGCCCGTAGAGATTCTGCAGTAGACTCCGGGAGCAGAAACGCCCAGGGGCGTACGTCACTGATTAAAATTCAAATTAAACACGCCGACCGGCAGAGTTAAGATTAATGCGCGCCTACACTGTGAACAGTTAATTGAAAAAAGCATGGGATAACTTACCAGAAATGGATGTTAATGTAATCAAAAAACGGAAAAGAGATATTATTGTTTATATTTAGAAGTAGATAAAAATGAACAAATGAAAAAAAAAAACACAAAAATCTGTCCCCTGGAGTCTTAAAATCCATGGAAATAAAAGGTAAAAGTCAAAAATACACGACCGATGTCGCCTTTTCAAAATTGATTAGAGATTCTACTCAAGCTGACTGCTTCTACCTCATGAGCCCCAAATACAGCTAAACCGTTTGTGGAATAATAATTTCTTAAGTGTTGAGAGAATCAGTCACAAACAACTTTTATGACACTGGCATTCAACATCCAGTTGAGCATATAGTCCTGGAAGTAGTTGTTTATATTTTAAGGCGGCCGACTAATAATGGGGACCCCCTCTGAAAACCTCTGAATCTCTCGAAGATGTCATGGAAACTGTTTGCAGTGGGAACTCTCTAATAACTCTCAAGATTGATAAGGTAACTCTCGAGGTTGATACATAACCCTGAAGGTTGATGTGGCAACTTTCCAGATTTGCCATGCAAATTCTCGAGTAATAACGAGTAAATTTGGACATGACCAATTTTTTTATGAAAACGTGCGACATAAGATTTCAATTATTAGCTCGTATGTTTAAACTTCGTATTCGACATAGGGGAGAGGGTGGAGTGTTCGGTCCCTGGGAGGATTCAGCCATCAGCGATTGAATTAAACTATTTCATATTTCCTGCGAAACGACAATGATTTTTAACGAACATAAGTTTGTTTTTAGTACTGACCCGCAAGGACAGCATCTCACAAGTGTTTGTTTGTAGTGACACATTTTTGAAGTTTTTTAGAGAAAATAAAGTGAGTTTTGCAATTTACAAATTTAAGAAACTCTTGTGAATAGTTAATTTGTAAAAATATTTCACTTAGCGCTCGTATTTAGTGACATATTTAGAGCTATGTTTCACAAATAACCTAACCTTAAATGCAAATACTAACTGGTCCACGTGCCATATTTGTGAATTTGGACTAATAGTTGATGCTTCGGCCCCTAGGTAGGTGGAGGTTTCGGCCACAGCCAAAATCATCCCCATATCTAGTATAAGTATTATTTAAACAATCTTTTGTTGGATTTTGTAGATGCCTCGAAAGTATATACGCAAAAATGACAGAGAAATTGATCAACTGATGGTAAAAAATGCAATACGCTTCTATTTCACAAGAGAATGTTTTATATGCAGAAATATTTTTTCTCCATCGTCGACTAGGGCTAAATAGTTCCCGTTGTGCCATAGTTGGTTCTAGGAAAGAAACAAAATCGGTTATATTTAAAGGACAATCAAATTTGAAATGTAATCTATATTTTACTTTTTTTAATTTATTTTTAATCGAAAAAGTTCAATTCAACGTCAAGACAAAACAACAATATCAAAAATGACACAACAGAACCCGCAATCCCTATAGGTCAACCTGATATTCAGTTCTAAAAGTTCAAATTCGCTCAACAAGCGTACTCATGGTTAGAGAGACAAAAATTGGGAATAAAAAACACAAAGTGCCATAGTTGTAGATGTAGGTTCTGATGAGTGAACATGAATTTAGGAGAAAAATGAGGTGAAAGAGAAATTTAACCAGCTTCCACTTAACAATTATTAATGATTTAGCAATGGTGCAAGTTATTGGTATTGAGGCTAGGCTTGCACAACAACAAAAAGCTGTTTGGATTCAATTATAATTTCCAAGGAATGGATGTTCTTTAAAGCTTATATTTTTCTATTACAATACTTTTGTTTCAATGTATACTTATAGAGAAAAACTTTTTTTTGCTAAATTGACGTTATACAACTTGTATTAAATATTATGCCAATATCCATATCTTTTATATTAATTTATACATAGGCCGAATCCTCCCTCAATGCTGGCCGAATCTGCCTCCGGTGGTGGATGATTCGACCAAATTGTTTATATTTTTATATTTATTGCGCAAAATCCTGGAAATATTTTTGGCTTTTAGTAGTCTTAGAAATGTCTAAAGATTATATAGCAATACAAATTCTCAATATTTAACAAGAAATATGGGTTTTATGAGTTCATTTCTACAAACTGGTCGAATCATCCACCCTCTCCCCTACTTACTATGATATCTCACGAGGTTGTTATGGAAACTCACGAGATAGCTATGGGAACTCACGAGGTCGCTATGAAAACTAACGACGCTGCTATGAAAATTTACGAAGTTTCATGGGAACTAACTAGCATCCTATAAAAATTTATGTGGTTGTTATAGAAACTCACGGGGTTGCCATAAAACTGATAAGGGTGCTACATTATTAACGAGGTAAAAATTCTCGAGGTTTAATTTTAATCTAGCCGATGCTACTAGTTGAATTTAGAAACTCTTGAGCATGGAACTTTCGAGAGTGTCATGGAAACCCTTGAGGTTGATAAGGAAATTTATGAATTTAACACAAACAATGCTGACGTTGATGGGTCATGGATTTGTTGAGTATTATTTACCTATGGGTAAATAAAAATGAGAAAGAAGAATACTTATATCAGATGCAAAGAATATGATTGCAATTTTCGTAAAAAGCAAAAGTTAAAACTATTGGGATATGAGATATTTAACATTTGACATTTAAAATATAATATTGCCTCGAAAAAACTCAGTTACTGTCAAACATAACTATAACAAATACTTATCTTAAAACTATACAGTGCAATAAAAATAAATAAAATGAATAACAAGGGCTATCTTTAGTTTATGTCAATATTTTCAAATTTCAAAAATTGACAACTTAATTCACTTTTATAAGTATCTTATTTCCTGTTTATCATTAATTGGCAAAACACAAAGCCTACGATCACAAATAAACATTGTAATTTATTCATATTTTTTCGATTCGATTAATTTATTACTTGCCACTTTCTTTAAATCGCCATATTATTTAAATTTACGTTTACCGAGTCGCTATGATTAATTTTAGCATTTAAATCACGTTATGGTGTGCTATATTTATTAATAATCATTCAAAAATCGTTGTTTGCAACCTCCGCGTCTTGTTTTATGAGTATGAATAATCTGACTGTATTGGATGCAAATAAATTAATTTTTGTTTAATTACTATTCCGATATTAAATTAATTTTTCTTCGTTTATGAAATCATTTCGAAATACCGAAAGACCAGTAGCTATCAAATAAAAGATATTCAAGAAGAAGCAAAAATCAATTATATATTTTTTTTCAAGATACTAGACACATGCATGAAATGTGTATTCATCATTCAAAGAAAATGCGCCACAAACAGTACCTATATTAATTTTATTTTGTACAATCATTCTTGATTTAATGGACGTAGTGTTAACTATTTTTCTAATTATTTGTGTGCATCTTATATTTTATAATGTAATAGAATGATTGGAATATTACGTAAAAAAGGGGCTGATTGTAACAGTCGAAAAAAAATAAGATAAACGTGTCTCAAACGCGCTTACCTTCTGTGCTGCATCATATGGTTCGTCGGATGAAGTAGGTGGTAGTATTAGTCCAGTAGCCAAGACCGGGCCCGGTTACACAATTTATATAACAACGTTTATTATACAGGATTTATAATAGCGGATTTAACGGCACATACACACCACAAAGCGTTCGTCGCGGCAATTTCTGTAGTACTCTTCGTCCAACGGCGTTTCACTTGTCTTACAGTCAGACGAAGCGCATGTGTGGGCCAAAGTTTTAAGTAAGCGATTTGAGACAAAGCGCGAATATTTAAATAATAAAATAGGAATTAATTCATTCTGGAACATTTCCTGCCCCGAAAAAATGTAAATAATACATTTTTAAACTGATTAGACAATTCCCCAAAATAAAAACTAAATATTAAAGCAAAAAAAAGGAAAGTTCAAATAATAGAATTAAACCAAAAAAACAATTATAAAATACTACAGGTAGCATATAAAAAAAAAAATTAATTATTAGGTAGTGGACACAGTTTTACCAATGGCCGTTTTAAAATAAAATTTTGTGTTTTTACTGTAGCTACTCTGGCTATGTTATCATTACCAAAATGCAGTTGAGTAACACGGCCTAACAACCAATTATTAGGAGGTAAATTATCGGTTTTAACCAAAACTAAAGTACCAAGTTTGGGGGTGTTAGCAGGGTCTAACCATTTGGCTCGCTGCTGTAGGGTATGCAAATATTCTTTATGCCAGCGACGCCAAATATCTTGATGGATGCGCTGTAACAATTGCCACCTAG